AACACTTCTTTTAGGCACAAATCAATATTTGGCTAATTTAATGTTTAATCCAACCGACAACATAAGTTCATCATTCCAAATCAACAAATCAAACCAATTAGAAAATCCAACAGAAAACCAATGGTTCATATGCCATGCCACGCTTATTACAACTCCACATATCAACAATAGTCTAGGTTCTGAAATGATTCTTGCATTTCCACTATATGAATTTAAATCAAAAACACTTTATTTACTAATGTTTTGCTTGACCACATCGGATGCTTACTCCTCGCCTTCGACTCCTCTGAAAAGTATTGAACATCAAGTGTAAGTTGAAAAGCCTAGTGACCAACTAACATTCAAAGAAATGCACATTCCAAAGTTAAAGAAAAAGCCCTATATGTAATCAATCACTTGTTTTTACCTCAACATGCATGTCATCATGTCATTCTTTTATGTTCACATATTTCATCCTAAATACACACAAAATCCATATCATACACTTACCATTTAGCATCATATGTCCAACCATAAACACACACTCATGCACAATTACCCCTTAGCAAGTCACACATAATACACACATTATTTCAATTAAATATCAATGGCCTTTTGTTTAAACACAACTCACTCATTGGATAAAGGAACCTCATACAACAACCTCTTATTTGTGGACTCACTTAGTTCTAAAACCCATGATTTTTGGAGTAAACTCAACGAACCAACCTTACTCGTGATCTTCTTAGAGCATTGCCCAATGCAACAACCTTTCTATGTATAACCCGATACCACTTGCACTTATACAAAACATATAGAATACTCTTTCCTAGGCATGATTTTCATATCCAAAGGTCCCACTAAGAACAAATAGTCAATTAATCCAAGTACACAAGAATGGTTGTCAAATAATGCATAATTTTCACATTTACATTTTCAAAATACACTTTAAAAAAATCATCGGATATGGTTGTCATGATCAACCTCATATGGACAGCAAGATGCTCACTCATCTATGCACGCTTTCACTTATACACACTTTCACTTATATATACACTTTCAAATTCACTTTTAAAACCATTATGTATCAATTGCAACACATACACAATTCATAATTCATAATACATATCAACGTTTCATATCACATTTTATGTCAAACATGTGCATCAATAAATATTCATATATACCATAGTTTAAGTTAAGAGAACATCTAAACTACACCTTCTTCTAACCTTGAACATGTTCATCCTCAAAGAATAAAAGTCACTCACCTTTGTTGTCCACTAACTGAAATAGCTTCAAACACTTAGCAAACATTCAACAAAACACGATGGACCAATTTTCCTCAATAATCAACACATCAAAAACCTTGAAAAGAAAATTAACACATTGAAAAAACAACCAAAACAAAGCAAAAATTTTTGTTTCCAAAATAGAGCGAAAAGATCAAAATTATCGAAACATCTCTCTGAGCTTCCAATCCAATCGACGTTAATCCTCCTCAATAAGAGAAAATTGAATACAAGAAAAACAAAACAAAATCAAGCTTGTTTAAAGAGGAGTTTGTGAAACCAATCGATGCTAATTCTCATATTTTCAAAAAACAAAACAAAATCAAGCTTGTTTAAAGAAATCATTATCCAAATAAAATGAGATTGAAAACTAATTTAGAATGATAATAATATCATAAAAACATATTAATCAATACAAGAAAACCTTGAAAAGTGATCAAGAAAAACAACACATTAATAATATGAAAATCAAGTTTAATTCACAAACTCCTCTTTAAAAGATTTGCTTAATTAAAACCATCAATCACATTGTATCATTATTCATGAAAGCACAAAATGAACCAAGGAAAAGAGAATTATCTTGCTGGAAAAGAAGATGAAGATCAACAATCGTAACACCAAAGAGATCAAGGAAAATCGACAAAGAGAAAATGAGAAGAAACAATCTTTATTGAAAGGAGAAAATCAAGAAGAAAGGAACAAGAATCAATAATAGAGGAATAGAAAATAAAGAATAAGAGTTTCATCCATGAGAGAGCTTGAGAGAATTTTAGGAGAGAAATGATAGATAGTGTGAGTGAGAGAAAATAAAAGGAATCGTTAATGAGAATTAGAAATGAAAATGAACAAATATTAAGAGAATGACTACATGGAAAATTAACAAAAAGGAGATTAAGATACGATTAAACTTGGAGGGAAAAAAATACTAAATACAAGTCTTGATAAAATTAGCTTCATAGATTTTGATTTGTGATCTCTTTACAAATCAGTCACTAAAATCACAATTTACAATTCATTCAATTTAGTTACTTTGTAAAATCAATTAAAAATTCAAAAAAATAGAATTCAATAATTCAAAACTATTTAAATCATTTTAGAAAATATTTATCAATAAAAAATTCCAATATTAATATTTTTATTAAAAGTTTGAAAATCAACTTGACTATCGACCTGAAACTACCGACCCAGATTTGAGATGTTACATAGACTCCCTTCACAACAATTGGGACATCTTCTTAGTTTTGTGGTGTAATCTCTCTCAAAAACTAGCTTGAAATGCTCATCATTGTCTCAATGAACTAGCTCTGATGCTACTTGTCATGCCCTTGGAGATTCCAATTCCGGAGTGCGCGACCTTGGTCACCTTGGAACACTTATTAGACGGTTTGGCGGACAATTTAGCTTGAAAACACTAAGTAAGAAAACTTTATAAAAACATGGAAGCACAAAGAATTAGAAATGAGATAACACTCTAAAAACAAGAAGAGAGAATTGAATGAATGCTTTGTATTAGTCAAAAGTGAAGTAAAGTGATTACAAATGAGGTGGGGAATCCTCTATTTATAGTTGAATCCTCTTAAAATGGACGGCTAAGATCAAACTAGATCAATGGCTAAGACGAGGCCTATTAATTATAAATCTTCATATATAAGGAAAGTCTATCAAGACATCATCTAATTAAATCAATTAGTTTAATTCTTTCCTCATATTGAAGATCTCTACGGATATGGATAGATTCCATCATGATCCTACTTGATATGATATTTCCTGCCTTTTCTGCAAGACTAAAGTGGACACAATCTAACAATGTGTCATTTTTCATGCCCTTTAGAACAGGGCTTGAGCTCCTTAGAACTCTCCATGTTTTGGGCAAAGTCTGATTGACTAGTCACGCCCAATATACCCTTAGAACTTCTGTCGTGGAATCTAGCGTACATGTTTCAGGCTTGATCTGGCGAGACAAAATGTTATGAATGCACCAGTTAAAGAAGATGAATATATATTGATTTATTCGTTAAAGAAAGATGTTATTGAAAAATATGTCCTTTTGTACGAACAATCCTCAAAAGTACATCAACCTTAGTAAGAAAAAGAAATGGAATCTCTATTCGGGTTTGTCCTATTTTTTTCTTTTTTTCTTGGTCATCGTTAATCTCATTTTTTGATCTTTGTGATCAGCGACAGCATCAACCTTGGTCGTCGACCGCCGATATTCATAATTTTTACTTTGCTTTATTATAGCATACCTCTATTTTTTGTTTTTTTTTTTGTTTTAATAATTCAGCCTTTATGGGCACGTCTTCTTTTCCTGATGCCTATATGGCACTTTTTATACCTTTATGGCATGTTTTCATTCGTTTGGTCGTTATTTTCATCATCGAATCTTTTTTTCATGGTTGGATTTGACATCGCTACATTTGATCAAGATGGCATTTTATATCTTATCATTTTGATATTCCCTGCTTTGGACCCTAGGATTGAATTTGAATACACGATTTGTGTTCTCAATTTTGATATGCGATTTGCCGATGACCTTTCAATAGCTTCATCCACTTTTATGGTTCATTTGCTGATGCGATCTAATTTGCTTATATCTACCTTTTATCTGATTTTATTTAGTTAGTTTTTTAAACCTTTTCCTCATATGGTCCTTATGATCTTAAGTGCTTATTTTTATTTGTGTTTAGGAAAATATATTTATTATGTTTTTAACTTATGGTTATGGTTATAAACCTTCATTGTAATTTGGATATTTTTTAATTCTGATAAAATTAGTAGATTCTATTAAAAAAAATGCAATAACATTAAACTAAGGGTAAATTACACAAATTGACCCCTAATTATAAGGCATTAGTTTGTTAACTCCTTCAACTATTAAGTTACAAAATAATCCACTAACTATAGGCCACTACTTTGTTGAGACCCTCAACTATTAAAAGTTACAAAATAATCACCTGACTATTCATATATTACAAATTCGTCATTTTCTATTAAAAAGTCAGTGGTATTCTAAGATAGGCGTTAATTTATTGAGTAAGGTATGATAAAAATATGATCCTAGAATCGTTTGAGTTAAATTTTGTCGATCAACTCTCCATTTATATTTTGTTGTCAAGCCAATCCTTGAAATATTATGTCATCGAGCCAGTGCTTGAAAGCAATAATGGTGCAAATATACATCATTAAAATGTGATTTTTATCATATCTTAATCGACATGTTCACGTCTAACTCAGACGATCTTCAATTTTTAACAAAAAATACATGTTTTTTGGAACATATGAATAGTAAGGTGACTATTTTGTAACTTTAAACAGACGGGGGAGTCAATAAAAAAATATCTTATAGTCGATGGATCATCTTATAACTTTTAATAGTTGCAAGATTCAACAAAGAAATACTCTACAGTGGGAGGACCATTTGTATACTCTACTCTTATTATTATGAAATTTTAATCAACACAGAAAACTGCTAAGAAAACTTCTCATCGTCCTTCATTGATTCATTACCGTTTGTTCAAAAAGAAAAGAACAACAAAATCAATCTAATTATCAAAGAGAGAGACACACATCATAGAGTATATTCAGGCTATTGCACATTCTCGTACAGTACCAAGACATTGTCTAGTAGATGCTCTTTCTCAAAACCAATCAAAACATCATCATCATCATCTTGATCTTCGTCTTCTTCATTTTCTGCAACTGTAAGTGTGGTGGTGGTGTTGAGGAGACTCAAACAGCTGCAACAGTGCCAGTAATGAAAGGATAGTCTTGAGCTTTCTTCAAAGATTTCGCTTTCCTTTGTTCCTTACTTCTCGACGCTTTCATCGAGGAAGAAAGGTTCCGGTTCTTTTCCAAGGCTTCATCCATCTCTATCTTTTCTTTTCTGCACTCTTCACTGCAGAATGGCGTGTCCCCTCTGCAAGATTTCAACGATAATAATACAAAATCAGCAAAACTAAAAAATAAATCTTGAAGAACTATAGATTCACAGTATCTTTCAAACCTATACATGAAGATGTCTCGGTTAGCCCCAAGAGGCTTCTTGCAAAGAAAACAAGCATCCAAGAAATGGGGCTGCTGATGATCTTTGAATCTGCCATCGGAAAACCTAGCAAACCTCGAACAACAAGACGAATATGTCAAATTCCTCAAACGAGTCCTCCTTGAGAAAAACCCATTTTGGTAATGGGTTCCTGAATACCCAGCTTCCATATCTGCAAGAAAAGCAAACCCATCATCATCTTCTTTGATGAAACAAGGCCTCCTTGAAGAAGAACCCGAATACTCCATTTGGGATTTTAAGGAAGTTCTGGGTTTTACCGTTTTAGTTGGAAGAAACTGAAGAGTACAACGAAGAAATGGAATTTTTATATAGGGGAATCATGTTTTCTTTGTTGAGAAAGAAGATTACAAAAACAAAACATCAGGTTTCAAGAATCCGTGCAGGTGAATCAATTGGCTTACAAACACCTGCGTCCCTGACTTCCAAATTACTTCCGTTTGTAAGTTGTGTGCACCCTTCATGTTTCTTTGACCTTTCGTTTGGGCTCCAAAATACCATAATGTCTTTGATCTTTGATCTTGATGTGATAAATAATTTGGCATGACTTCATAAAAATGATGAAAACCAATTTAATAAAAAGTAATAAGGGTAAATTATATAATTGGTAACTATACTTTTAAGGTACATGTATTTTAGTTACCAAAATTTTAAAACTTATAATATAATCATTAAATTTATAATTCTCTTTCATTATAGTCATTGTCATTAAAAATGATAATGTGACACTTTAAAGTCATCATCTTTCAATATATATATATATATATATACAAGTTTCTCAAACCAAATACCAACAATGAATCTCATTTTGCATGTGCCTTCATCGTCCAATTTTCTTTTTATCGGTGTTGCCTTTAAATATAACACCCATCATACTCAAGAATTTTATAATCTTCTCACGGCCGTTGAATTATACATTACCATCATTTCATCTAAGTCTCAAACATCATAAGAATAAATCACAATCACCATTCAAGACCAGACGCACCTTGAGCCACCATCACCAATTCATTTGGTCATCATTCATAATCACAATCACCAATGAATCAAACAATAAAGAACGGTAAAAACAAGCAAAATGTAAAGAAAAGAAGAAGAGAGAAAAATCACCAATCTTAGCCTTAGCAAGTTTTCGATGGACAAAACGGTTGTCAATCAATCCTAATGATAAGAATACTTCGTTTGGGCAACATAATTTGATTTTAAGTTGATGTGACGATTGATATTGATAGATCATCAAGTTTTAACTTTTGGTTTCAATTAAAATTTGAGGACATTGGAAGGCTTTTACGAAACATTTAAACTAATGAAAAGAAAAAAAATATGAGAAGTTTGATGATCTTTTCAACTAGAGAATCATTGAATGGGATAAAAATAACGATGAAAAGAGGAGTGACGGTTGTCAATTTCAAGTATAACAAATTTGGGGTTCTTTAAAGGAAGAATGTGGCTTTAAAGTGTCATCTCAATATTTACTAAATGCAGCTAACGATAATGACTAGTGAAAGTAAATTAATAGTTTAATAATTATATTATAAATTTTAAAGTATGGTGACCAAAGTATAAGTATCCGAAAAGTTAAAAGTTGTATATATAATTTACCCTAAAAATAAAATGAAAGTTAATTATGAAATATTAAAAACCAAAATTTTATTACTTCGGAATTTTGATACCATTCAATTTTTGTTTTTAATAGCATTAAATATAAAATATATAAAATAATTAATTGAGATTATGAAAATGCAATGGCAGTTTCGTGATTTAGAAAAGATGAAGGGGTAAAAGAGAGAAAAAGTTTGGAATGTCTCGTATTTCTCGAGGAAGTAGGGTATTGAAAAACAGTTCCCAAGGCTTTCGTAATCTGACGTCAATATCTGACGCTCGTAGTGTGCTCGTTAACGTAACGACCGCACCTGCCATAATCTTTTGCTCCAACGGCGGTTTGGTTTTACCAATGACCTCGACAACCACTGATTTATTGGTCTCTTTATTTAAGACTTCAACAACCAGTGAGAATAAAATCAAATTTAATTTATAAAACCAATGTAATATGTGTAATTAAATATTGGTGGGACAAATGCATACCAAGAAATCGAATCTCAATGTCACTACTTATGACCCCAAAGAAAATGTCTAAAACGGAATTTAATTGGAAATGATATATAAATAAAATTGTATTAATGGTTGCTTAGATGGGTAATAATTCAATGACACATTATGTTGCGTGTCAAGTACATAAAATTCCCTTCAAATCATTTATTTAGTTTATATTTTTTTCACAAACCAAATAATCTCAATTATTAAAAAATTAATTATTATTTTTAAAAATCATAAATATGAGTACAATGTTTATTAGAGTATTGAATATTTATTACTAAACGAATAAATATTATTTTATAATTATTGACACTAACAAAAGCTATTGTTTTTAACATAAAGTTATACTATTGATGTTTTTATCACAATATACCTTGTTTTAAAAATTATTTTTATTCTAATATTTGTTAAAATTTATTCTTCAATTCAACACCATTTTCTATCATGTAGACAGTGTTGGGACCGTCGGCGCACCCCACATCGTAGGGATCGTCGGCGCACCCCACAACATAGCGGAAACAAAACTCGACGGTCTCACCAGCGATCCAAGTACGTAAAACCGAAGTCGGGAGGAATGAATACGAATACTTACAGCGGGTTCCTTGAAAAATAACAAGAACAGCAGTGAATAATGGTGGTGTAGATCGATTTGAATCGTAAGCCTCCAAGAAATCACGTCTCGGCCTCTACTCAGTTCACCCGATTGAGAGCAATATTTGTTTTCCCCAAAACTGTTTTGAGAGAAAACGGCTGAAGGTTTATGTGTGTGTTAAAAACGGCTGCTAGACATAACACACCCTTTTATATCCATTACCCTAACATCTTATGTTTTTCAAAGTTATTTTGAATTAACAATAAAATATTATTTAATTAATTCAATTAAATATACATTAAAGACTTAAAAATCTGAATTATAATCTTTAATGTTTATTTAAAAACTTATTTAATTATTCCAAATTATATATACCAATTAAAAGAGTTGTAATCTAAATTACATTCATTTAATGCTTACTTACTATATTCGGGATAATTAAAATCATATGTATATCAAATATACATATCATAACTCTAGATATATTTTAGTAACATACAACAAATTGTACATTTTTTGCTCATTTCAATCCTAGGGTGTGACCCTGTAGGTTCTTGTAACGTTAGTAGTAATTATTAGAACAATTTTAATATTACATACAATGAGTGACATCTAGCAATATATCATTGTCACCTAAGTTACAAGAAATTATGATTCCACATATCATTTCGTGATTAACTCTTTTATGTATTACATCCTTTTGTCCTTTATATCTAGAATAGGCACAAGTCTTAGATTAGTCACACTTTTATAACCCATCTATTGTTTCTTGATATCTAGAGTATATTATAATTAACGAATATGATATCGCATATTAACTTATTCGAGCATGGCCATGCATTTCTAGTCTCACTCAATCAAGTGGCATGTGATATATTTCCTATTATGTAGGAAGGACAAATCCTATCTTAACCATATACACCCCACTACATATATTGAAATATATTCAATAACAGTCTTTATAGTACAACCAGTTACAGAGCATGTTTAACTGTATCAAAACATACAACAATATATGTTGGGATGACATTGATCTCAAGTCTGAGGATCATACATATAGTCATCACCATGAGCAATGTTATGACCATTACATAATAATCCAAGACATATGCTCATGATGGGACAATCCAATACATTGTTCTCTAACAATATAATCATGTATCAATTCTGACATCTTTATGTCAATGACAACTCCTTGCCATCAATCAATAACATGTTAGTCTTAAGCGTATTATTATTGTCCATGCCCATAATAATACTTGACTATGGATTTTTAATAATGTTATTATATGGACTTTATTATCTTTCAGTTTATGTTAAACACAAACACATAACTGAAAATAATAGTGGCAATGCCTTTATTCAATAAAATCAGTAAATAAATATATTATTACAATCATCATATGATTGGTCTTTGGGCATACTCTAACAATCTCCCACTAGCACTAAGACCAATCACTCATATATCTAATACCGAGTGACTCAGTGTGACGATCATGCCTCTGCTATGTAAGAGGCTTCGTCAAGGGATCAATAATGTTGTCATCCGTGTGTACTCTGCATATTTCCACACCTCCTCGATCTGTGATCTCTCTAATAAGATGAAAGCGCTTAAGAATATGTTTAGATCGTTGATGAGATCTGGGTTCCTTTGATTGTGTAATGGCTCCATTATTGTCACAATGAAGTTTTACAACATCTGATATGCTGAGAATAACCCCTAATTCCAATATGAACTTCTTGATCCAAATAACCTCTTTTGCTGCTTCACTGGCTGCAATGCATTCAGCCTCTGTTGTAGAATTAGCTATTGTGTCTTGCTTTGAACTTTTCCAGCTCACAGCACCTCCATTAAGACAAAACACAAATCTCGATTGCGATCGTGAGTCATCCTTGTCAGTTTGGAAGCTGGCATCAGTATAACCTTTTATACTAAACTCTTATTCCCCTCCACAGACAAATAATTTATCTTTAGTTCTTCTTAAGTACTTAAGGATATTTTTAACATCAACCCAATAATTTTCACCAGGGTTCGCTTGATACTGAATCGTCATGCTTAAAGCATAAGATACATCTGGTCTAGTACATATCATGGCATACACGATATAACCAATAGCCAAAGCATATGGAATCTTATTCATCCGTTATCTATCTTGTGGAGTTGAAGGACACATTTACTTCGAAATAGAAATGACATGTCTCATAGGCAAAAATCCTTTCTTGGATTTTTCTATACTGAACCTTTTCAGCACTTTGTATATATATATACTTTGACTCATACCTAGAAGTCATCTTGATCTATCTCTATAGATCTTAACTCCTAAGATATACGCTTCCTCACCCAAATCTTTCATAGAGAAACAGCTACCTAACCAAGTCATAACAGACTGTAAAGTATGTATATCATTTCCTATGATGAGTATGTCATCTACATACAAGATTAGGAAAGAAACGATGCTCCCACTAGCCTTCTTATAAACACAAGGCTCATATTTATTTCTGATAAAACCAAACTTTTTGATTGCATCATTGAAACGAAGATTCCAGCTTCGAGAAGTTTGTTTTAGTCCA